CCCACTGTCAGCTGCGGCTGCTGGGGTACCTGGCTTCTTACGAATTAATTACGCGTTCAGAACAGAGGACTTAGGGGTGTCTGGGGACCCCGGGGCAGAGCTCCCACAGCCTCTTTTAGACAAAGGAGGCTCTGTCTTCCCTGACGTTCCTGCTCTTAACAAGGAAGTCGGTTTGATCACGGGTCACATTAGGGATTCCTTAGGCGGCAGAATGAGCGGTGATGGGAGCGCTTTTCCAAACGCCGTCTTGTGCGTTAGCCTTCAGGGAGGTTTGCATTGTTCTGTGCGGCTTTTCAATGTGGCTCTTATCACAGACGAGTCTTAGAGAAAAGAAAATGGTTCAGACTGTGTTTCCAGGGAGGGTGTGTGTGTGTGAGCAAGTGAGTGTGTGCACCTGGGTGTGTGAATGTGCCCGCAAGTGTGTGCCAGGGTGTGTATGTGTGTGTTTGTATGTGTGTAATTTTGCCCTCTGGCCAGAAATTTACACATGAGGGGGTTTGTGCTGTCTGGAGGGAAAATTCTTGCTAACCGTGACATGCGTCACAGAAGTTTCTCCCCAGATCCTGAGTTCCCAAAATGTAGGGTTTAAAAAGCAACCCAGCTTCTGTTTAAGAACCACTCTTCTTGGGTAGCAGCCGTTCTCTGGTCAAGTTGCTTTCTAACGTCAATCTACAGAAACAAAACCACAAAAGAAAGTCAGCGTGCCCGGGTTCTGGAGCTTGATTTGAGAGGCAGAATTAGGCGGTGTTGCTTTGCACACTGTCAGCAGGAACTGTGTCTGTATGATCCATGCCTGCACTGTGCGGGGTATTAAAAAGTGCGAAAGGGGGGCTGGTGCCGTGGCTCACTTGGTTAATCCTCCGCCTGTGGTGCCGGCATCCCATATGGGTGTCAGGTTCTAGTCCTGGTTGCTCCTCTTCCAGTCCAGCTCTCTGCTGTGGCCCGGGAGTGCAGTGGAGGATGGCCCAAGTGCTTGGGTCCCTGCACCCGCGTGGGAGACCAGGAGAAGCACCTGGCTCCTGGCTTCAGATCAGTGTAGCTCCAGCCGTAGTGGCCATTTGGGGGGTGAACCAACAGAAGGAAGACATTTCTTTCTCTTTCTCTCTCACTGTCTAACTATCTGTCAAAATAAATAAATAAATAAAGCATGAAAGGAAGAGATGCCAAAACAATGACCGTGCAAATAGACAAAATTAATTGGAAGAAGTCACACACCAACTGTAAACACCTGGCCCGAACGCATCAACTATAGACACCTGGCCGGAACGCAGCACCCGTAAAACCTGCCCAGAGTGAGGCCACGGACAGCAGGCCTTACTCCGCAGACAGTCTGTGCTCGGGAGCGGAGTGCTCGCCTCCCTACCTCGCAGACAAGAAGGATTTCCAGAGACAAAGGAAGAGATGGACGCTGGGAAATGGTGGAGGGAACGCCCGGCTCCGGTTCTTTCTAAGAGTAAACGGTGGGGCTGTTACCCAGGCATTTGCCGTCTCTGCCAGAGGCAGAAGGAGGTTACTCAGTCGTTCCTGCTCTATTTTCTGTATAGACCAAACACTCCCCCACAAAACACACCAATTCTCATGGTCGTGTGTGCGTGAGAAAATGGAGAAGCGACACACAACAGGAGACTGTGCCCTGTCCTCTGGCGTGCCTTGCATGCAATGACCTGTTTCTACGCTCTTGGGAGGAAAAGGGGGATTAAGAGGTTTCCCATGACCAGGGCCTGGACTTCTTCATTAACTTGGACGTGAAATGAGCCTAAGCAACTTGTAAAGACAAAGAAAAGCAATCTAAATGCAACGGGAAGGAGCGGTTTTCAAAACTTTATTGAAGAACTAGTTTCTGATTATTTATTTTAGAGACACAAAGAGAAATAGACATTGCAGGGCTGGAACTGGGAACTGGGCACTCAGTCCAGGGTTCTCACGTGAATGGCAGGGCCCTGGCTACTTGAGACATCACCTGCTGCCTCCCTGGGTCTACACTGGCAGGACACTTGGAGGAGCTGAAGCCAGGAATTGAACCAATTTTATTTTTATTTTAAAGATTTATTTATTTATTTGAAAGAGTTACACGGAGATAGGAGAGGCAGAGAGGCAGGCGTCTTCCATCTGCTGGGTCACTCCCCAATTGGCCGCAACAGCCGGAGTTGTGCCAATCCGAAACCAGGAGCTAGGAGCTTCTTCCGGGTCTCCCACATGGGTGCAGGGGCCCAAGCACTTGGGCCATCCTCCACTGCTTTCCCAGGCCACAGCAGAGAGCTGGATCAGAAGTGGAGCAGCCGGGGCTCGAACTGGCGCCCATATGGGATGCGTGTGTTTCAGGCCAGAGCGTTAACCGGCTGCACCACAGTGCTGGCCCCCCAATTTTTAATTAATTGTATTTAAGTAATTATCCAATAATCCACTGTGGGACGTGGACATCCTAAGTAGCAGCCTAATTGTTAAGCCAAATGTTCTCATAAGGAGCAGCTTCTATATGTAATTACTACTTTAAAAATTTCGTGTTGCTTCCTCAGTAACAAAACCAGTTCAGCAGCCACACACGTGGCCACATGGCTTAGTGTGCGCTCCTCTTTGGGGCCACATCATTTCAACCACTTAATCTACTAAGATTTCCCTTTGACAGAAGGCCTTGAAAGCCTCGGTTTGCACCCAAAAGTCTCAGGGTTCTGGCGTTCTGTTTTCAATTGTGAAGGAAACCTAATTATATAAGAACTGGGCGGGGCAGGGGAGGATGCTTAGGTGTTGAGGAGTGTTTTGAATTTTAAAATGCATCTCCAATCTAAAGACTACCACTTAGATATCCTAACAGGTGCTTAGAATAAAACAAAGGAAAAAAGGAAAAAGGAAAAAGTACTTTTTTTTTTTTAGATGGGTCCAATTGTAAGCTAACTTTTCAGATAAAGGCACAAGGCAAGCATCTAGAAGCCGGAATGGGAGTGGCAGAGCACTTGACTGTCGCGGGCCGCTCTCTGACTCCTCACCAGGCTGTGAGAGTCACTGATGACAGCTGGAGCTGCTGTCCTCTTAGCTGAATAGAGAGGAAAACTCACCGGCATCTGTTTCAATTCAGCGTTGGAAGCTGCACCTGCAAACACCATTGGTAGGTGATCATGCAGTTGCTACTGTGGAAAAGAACCTTTTTCATTTCTGAATTCTAGGGCTTATAATGTTGGGATTTAGAGGATCACTAGCTAGCACCCCTTTCTTTACTACCTGAGTTCTGAACCAGGTGGGGAAAGAACCAGAAGCCAGGCAGATGAGGCTCAAAATCTGACTTGGATGACTGGTCAGCCACACAATGTTATTTGGGGACTGCCAGCCTAAAGGGCTGTTCTTTGATTCCCCACATCCAGGGGACCCACTGGGCGGCTCGTGTCAGAGCCTGACAGAGCTCGGATGGGGGTCCGAGAAGAAGTTCGGGGCCCCCTCTGCCCTGTGTGCTTCCCCCTTCCTGGGCAGACCCAATCCTAAATCGTTAATCCTACATCTTTGCACCTGGAGTGAGGACACGTGGAGGCTGGGGGAGGCCCCGCAGCGGCTGGGGGAGGCCCCGCAGCAGTGACAATGACCCCTCCCCTAACTCGAGCTTCCATCCTGTTTGTTATTCAATTTGCAGAGGGAACAGGGTCTCGGCAGCTGAGAGAGACTGACTTCTAAGAGGAAGACAGAGCGCTTTGTGGACAGAAGACAAATTGCCACTTCCAAGGCTTAGGGGTGTCTCGCTGTCCTCTCACGATTCTTCTCTAAGAAATAGCAGCTTTCGTGTCCCTGTCTTAGGTCCTGAGCAGATGGCCTTTGTTTCTGAAATTACCTTAAAATCAATGGAGATGACCTTGAACTTTGTCTGCAGAAGCTGATACTGGAATTTCAGTGATCATGTATTTGAAACATTCACCGTGTTCTTATCCAATCGTGAAAGAGGCAGACTGATCTCCTCTAATGCCTGCATGTTGTCATACTCACAGTGTTCTTTCTTAAATTCTTCTATTTTCCCTTTCCTTGTCCTTCCCGACTGAGGCATAAAGAACGTAGACCATGGAAGGATCCTCCCCCCAGCCCACTCCCAAACTAGATCAATAACTCAGATCAAACAAGGGCTGATGAGAAGCCAGCACCCAGGACAGCCAATGGGTGGCCTCTGCCACAGTGTTGGGTTTGGTGAGGGTCCCCAACTGGATTTATCCCAAGGTCATTGTATTGGCACAGAGATGAGTTTAAAGCAGAGTCATAGATAGAGTACGGGGAGGGGGGGGGCGTCCTAACTGAATATACAACAGGGGCAGAGTTTGGGTGGGGTTCTGTGCAAGTGATGATCTCTGGGAAGGTTTCATGACGTCTCCACTTGGAGCTCATTATAAACATTGATGTCTTCTACATGAAGGAGGAGACAGGTGCATCATGGGAAAGTAGGTGTGTCCAATCGGCTTAGAAAGTGGTGGAGTTTTAGTGACGCCAGACTACAGCCCAGAGACCACTGGAAGTCTCTTAGCTCCTTGCTCCTCAATGAACTCCCTTCCTAGCCTACAGCAATAGGAAAGGCCACAGCAGGGGAGGGACAACACAGCCATCGCGGGAAAGAGAAGCAAAGCCCAGGGTGGAGAGACATACATCCAGCAATGAATTCAGCAAGCTACCTCCTTGAGCCAGCAGATTACCTTTATTACTGCTTGCCCCCAGAGCAAGCCAGAGAGCCCATAAAGGCCCCTCTGCCTTCTCCATTCTCCTCTGAGGGCCTGCCCCAGACCCAGGGAGGACGGGAAGAATCTGATCAGACCAGCCTTCCTGGGTGTCCCCGCAGTCATGACTGCTAGCTCGTACCCTTTTGTCCATCACAGTTCTGCATCATTTTCTAGTCCTCCTCGAACATCAGCAAAACAACAGACAGGTTTTCCTTGGATCTTTGTGTCTCCATTTCTGAAGCCCACTCTGCTACAGAGAGCTCTGATTGACTAAACCATGACACTCCTGTCTTGTTAACTTGCCTTTCGTTACAAGTGCCAGCCACAAGCCGCATACCTCTATCAAATCTAAGTTCAGTCGATGAAGTTTAATAAGATTTTCACAGAGGTTCAAATCGATGGAGGAGAATTGCAACACAGAATTACAGCAAGTGGGCTCTCCGCCCGAAAAACCCACAGACTGGCCCATGCTGATAGCAAGCTGGCTGTCCAGTGGCAAGCTTTGCACCCTGTGTGGTGCTCGGTGCATCTCTTCGGCCAAGGTCTTCTTTCTCGCACCCTCCAGAACTTCCCCTGTACAGGTCTTGTGCAGATGTGAGAGGATCCAGAGAAATTTCTCAGCCCAAGCTTCCCTCCATGCCTGATCTTGCTTCTCCTCACTTCCTGTCCCAAGACCCACTTGCTCTCAGCATGACTGATGGGTGTGCATGTTTACCTGAGTGGCTGTGATCTGGGCGACCCATCAGAACAGGAGAGCCCGAAGTCAGAGGACAGTTACCCAATGGGTAGCACTGGGCGCTCCTTCCTTGCGCTGTCTTCCCAACTTGATAGAGAAAAGCTAGGTCCTGTCTTGTTAAGATAGTCATACAATGTTGGGTGAATGTTTAAAATTTCACCTGGGAATTCCTCTTCTTGCATAAGGTTAAGTGGAATACAGTAAGAGCAGGATTGGTGGTGAAGGGACAGAAATAAGTATTGAACAGAACATTAACCTTGTTCTGTCATCTCGAGTCCACTTCTGAAATCAGCTTTTGGGGCATTCTTAGGAATCCAGAATCTAAGGAACTCAAAAGAAATGAGCATGTTATGTAGTAGTTAGAAGAAAGCGATAGATGAATATACTTTTCAAGCTAAAACAGAGTTGTGATTGAATGTTTGTTCTACATGAAGTAAAGATTGTGCCATTATCATCTTTTTTTAACACTCTTTTTTTTTATTTAGTAAATATAAATTTCCAAAGTACAGTTTACGAATTGCAATGGCTTCCCCCACCCCCATAATTTCCCTCCCACTTGCACCCCTCCCATCCCCTGCTCCCTCTCCCATTCCATTCACATCAAGATTCATTTTCAATTATATTTATACACAGAAGCTCGATTTAGTATATTAAGTAAAGATTTCATCAGTTTGCACCCCCACAGAAACACAAGTTATCATCTTAAAATTGGAAAAAGGTCTTCTTTTTTGATTTTCAAAATAGGTCTCGGGGCAGGTTTCGTTTTTGTCCAGACTTCTTTGAATCCTAATTTTTTTGTCAGTAATCGCTCACATCAAAATTGCCATCTCCACAAGAGAAAGCCTTATTATGTTGTCCCAAAAAGACACAAATCTCTACTTGGAAAACAAGTCTCTAAAGAAAACATGAGCTATTAGGAATGCAGCTTTGTTGATGATACGTGTCCGTTGTCTTTATGAACACCTATGTATCTGAACCAAGAGAAATGGCCTAACAGTTTCCTGAGCCCAGGCCTGCTAAGAAGTTTTGAAACGGTGCTTAGCAAGCTGAATATTTAGTTTCCGGGGTGATCCAGATGCTATGTTTTGGGAACTTTAGCTTCTATACCAACTCTGTGGTGCAAGGAAAGATTTTCTTAGACGTGACTGGGACTGGGACCTTGGAGAGCAGAAGGTCTACATTTTCCTTCGGTACGCTGTCACATCACCACCTTCCCCTCATGTGGTTTGTCTCTGAGATGTTTGCAAAACTCGTTCCCAATGGCGAGGAGGTACCTCACCTCAGCGAGTTCAGTAGAACTCAAAAAGATCAACTTTGGAGCATAAGGCAGCAAAGAGCTGGTGCATGCTTTTAAGTTACCCCACTGATATGTGCACTGTGCCCAGTGAAAGACTGGAAAGGAAGCCAGAGAAACTACTAAATTCTGTAAAAAATAAAGGGGGGGGGAGCTTTTGGAGACTGATGGGGACAACCAACTTGGTACAGATTGATGAGTCCTTCCATTAATGTCCTGATGGAATACCCCAGCACTCTCAAATATTTTAGCTTACACATCTTCAAAATCATGTGTGTATGTCCTATAATAGTGATCCACAAGAAGGATGCCTTTGGCTAAAGGTAATACTAGTCGTGCGAGACAGGTATCTGATATTGATGTAGGAGACCCAGGTGAAGTTCCAGCCTCCTGGCTTTGACCTGGCCCAGCCCCAGGTGATGTGGCCAGTTAGGGAGTGAACTAGCAGATGGAAGAGCTTTGTCTCTCTCACCCTCTGTGTCTCACTCTCTGCAACTCTTGCCTTCCAAACAAATCTTTTTTAAAGTATTTTTTTGAACTGGGACGCAAGTGAAATGAAACATAAATATAAAGTAAAAAATGTTGCTGTCAACAGGCATTTTTGATCAGAAAAGTGATCCTCTTCTATCTAGAACACTGATGGATTGGAGACATAGGAGTATAGTTTATCCAATAGACCATGAATATTCCACAACACAAATAGCATGGAATTACGGAAAGAGCTTGGGACAAAAGCCAGAAATTGCCCTGAGACCCATTCTACCATATTTTAAAAATGAAAATAACAGATGACCTTATTTTAACATTCAGATGCTACATTTTTAAGTATGAATTGGTGTCATAGAATAATAGAAAACAGACTGTATGGTTAACATGGGAATTCGGTTGAATTCAAAGTGGAAAATAGGAGCCTTGGCAGTATCTATACTCAGTAGATGGGTGTGTGTTCATACGTGCATAAGTTTGTGTCACATCAGCAATTTCCAATCTTTCTAGAAGGGCATTTTTCTAGATTAGACCCTTAGGGTAATTTCCGGAGGGTTAACTAGGTAACCAGACAAGAACACGGCTGGAACACTGGTGTTCTTTGGTGGGGGCTGTCGGTGGTCTTTTGCAGGGACCTTGTAAGAGTGAGCTGCATTTACCAGAATGTAACTTTCTGTGCACATCCTGTTAGTTGGGCCACAGGAGAGAGCCAGCCAGGTCTGGAGTGAAGGGTGAGTTTGGAGCTCAAATGGAGGAGGCGACAGCCCCAGCCTCTCCTTCCCCAGCTCATCCTGCAGGGCTTCTGCCTCCTGGCCAGCTGCTTAGCTCCATTTCAAATGGCCCTGGCACCGGTGAGACCCCTGTGCTCTCTGGCTCAGTGACAATGACAGCTGACAGGGTTCCAGTGTGCTTATGCATTCTGCTTTATGCTGACTCTCGCCTGTTTGATGCTCAGCTTCCCTCTCTCACTGTGCTGTGCACCTGGGGCCCTGGCATCAGGTGGGCAGATGGCAGCTTGGCAGGGGTGGCTCACCCGGCTTCCACAGTCATGCAATACTAGATTTTTGTGAATCTATCGGCATCTGTAATTGTAGATGGCATAGCTACCTATCTATGCATGTTTATATGTTTGTGTATTTTTCAACCATCTTCCTATTTCTTGTGATTCTGTCTCTGAATGAACCCTGATGGATCCTAGATCTCCAATAATTTACCAAGTGAAGGTCTGTTAGGCCAAACTTTGCTTCACAGACCGCACACACACATGTACCCACACACACATCAGCTCTCTGGACAAGCTCTCACAGACACACACACACGTACCCACACACATCAGCTCTCTGGATAAGATCACAGACACACACACACATGTACCACACACACATCAGCTCTCTGGACAAGATCTCACAGACACACACACACACGTACCCACACACACATCAGCTCTCTGGACAAGATCTCACACGCACACACACATGTACCACACACACATCAGCTCTCTGGACAAGATCTCACACACACACACACGTACCCACACACACATCAGCTCTCTGGACAAGATCTCACAGACCACACACACATGTACCACACATACATCAGCTCTCTGGACAAGATCTCACACGCACACACACATGTACCCACACACACATCAGCTCTCTGGACAAGATCTCACAGACACACACACATGTACCCACACACACATCAGCTCTCTGGACAAGATCTCACAGACACACACACACGTACCCACACACACATCAGCTCTCTGGACAAGATCTCACACGCACACGCACACGTACCCACACACACATCAGCTCTCTGGACAAGATCTCACACGCACACACACACACACGTACCCACACACATCAGCTCTCTGCACAAGATCTCACAAACCATACACACACATGTACCACACAGACATCAGCTCTCTGGACAAGATCTCACACACACACACACACACACACACACACACACACAATGTACCACACACACATCAGCTCTCTGGACAAGATCTATACACACACACACACACACACACATGTACCACACACACATCAGCTCTCTGGACAAGATCTATACACACACACACATGTACCACACACACATCAGCTCTCTGGACCAAGACCTTTAGTAAACCTAAAGACCTTAAGTAGCCTCGGATACTCCTCTGCCTTATTGAGTGGGAAAGGAAAACTTACTTCATAGTGCCTATGTGCAATTATCCAGCTCACAGAAAAATAACTTAAACCATAACTTGAACAGTACTTCGTCACAGTAATATTCCTAGAATTTATCTTGGCGAAAAAAGCACCTTATGCGCGCGCACACACACACACACACCACACGTACAAGCACTTACACATATACACATCTATTCACATATGTTGAGTGTAGTAAGGGGCTGGCTGTCAGTTGTGGCACAATCATACCACAGCTTGTTAGGCAACTGCTTAACAAAACAACTGCAGAGCAGTGCATATGCTACAGTCCCAGTCTCATGAAAAAAAAAAAAAAAAAAAAAGGAAATCCTACGTGTTTGCATGCATTTGTGTTAAGCAGCAAAAGAAAAAGTAGGCGAGATACCACAATAGACAGAACGGTATTTGCCGGGCTGGAGTGCGGTTGGAAGGAAAGGGAAGCAGGCATACTTTCTTTATACAGCACCAATGTGTGCGTGATTACAAAGAACATACTCTGTTTGTATAACGTTCCCCGTTCTCTGCAAATCCAACAACTAACCTCAGAAAACAGCCACTTTGCTGTGGTTCTCTTTCAAAAGAGAAAGGAAAGAAAACACCTGATGTGACCGCCTCCTGCTTCATGCACCTGGTGAGCTGTCCGGTGCACGGTATCTGCTGGGAAGGCTGTGTCAGCCTCCAGCCCAGACCCCTGCCTCTGACCCGAGTCCTGCACATCTCCTCCAGCCCTTGGAAATCTTCCAAGTGAGCGTTCAAGGCCTGCCTCCGTGTCAACCTAACCCAAGCCCGAAATACCTTGTCTCTGTGCTTTTCAGATACAAATGACAGTAAGTGAATATTAAAAGGGGAGCAGTTGTGTGGAGTATGGTTAAGTTGCGCCTTGTGGGTGCCCACAGCCCATATCAGGGTGCCTGGCTTGAGTCCCTGCGACTTGGCTTCCAGTCCAGCTTCTTGCTAATCACCCTGGGCAGCAGCTCCTGATGGTTCAAGTGCGTGAGTCCCTGCCGCCTGCTGGGGGACCCATACTGAGTTCTGGGCTCCTGGCTTTGTCCTCGGCCATTTTTTTTTGACAGGCAGAGTGGACAGTGAGAGAGAGAGAGACAGAGAGAAAGGTCTTCCCTTTTGCCATTGGTTCACTCTCCAATGGCCGGCACACCGCGCTGATCCTAAGGCAGGAGACAGGTGCTTATCCTGGTCTCCCATGCCGGTGCAGGGCCCAAGGACTTGCGCCATCCTCCACTGCCTTCCCAGGCCACAACAGAGAGCTGGCCTGGAAGAGGTGCAACCGGGACAGAATCCGGCGCCCCGACCGGGACTAGAACCTGGTGTGCCGGCGCCGTAGGCGGAGAATTAGCCTATTGAGCCACAGTGCCAGCCAGCCAATCTTGATTGTTGTAGGCATCTATAAAGTGAACCTGAGGGTAGAGGGATGTGTCTCTCCATCTTTCTCTCTCTCCCACTCCCTTTCAAATAAAAATGAAAAATTTTTCAAAGTCCAGCAATAGACTGTAGTTCGTAGGACTCAGCACAAGTGTGAAAACCTTATTTTGGCTTGTTTCTCTTTCCTTATACGTTTATACTGTGATGATAGACTCAAAATAATTATCCTGATCTCATTTCAACAGGTAGCCTATTAATAAATCAGCAAATGTGTTAAGAAAGGTTGTTCAATGTATTTGAAAGGCAGAGAGAGCGAGCATGAGACAAGAGATTGCACCCATTGGTTTCCTCCCCAGATGGCCACAATGGCTGGGACTGGGCCAGGCTGAAGCCAGGAAGCGGAAACTTCATCCTGGTCTCCCATGTGGGTGGCAGGGGCACAGGACTAGGTCCATCTTCCGCTACTTTTCCAGGTGTGTCAGCAGAGGGCTAGTGTAGAAGTGGAGCAGGTAGGACTCGAACCAAGTACTCTGATCTGGGACGCCAGCACTGCAGGTGGACGCTGAGCTCACGGAAACACAATGCGGGCCATAGCAAACATCTTGTTAAGGCCTTGTCAGACACCTATAAGAAACTACTAATATAAGTGAGATAGATGTGTGATGTATCACATACATATGCATGCATTTTCTTAATTGCTTCTATATATGTGCACATATGTATTTGTAATCAAATTTACCTTGAAATTGGTGATTCTTTATCTACTTTAGTAACTATTTTGGAGTCACACAGTCTGACAATGGGTTCTAGACACCTAAAACGACTTCCTTGCGAGAACAATAATCAGGCCCAGCGGTGTGGCACAGAGAGTTAAACCTCTGCCTACAGTGCCAGCATTCCATATGGGCACTGGTTCAAGTCCAGGCTGCTCCACTTCAGATCCAGCTCCCTGCTTATACACCAGGGAAAGCAGCAGAAGATGGCCCAAGTCCTTGGGTCCCTGTACCTACAGGGGAGAACTGGAAGAAGCTCCTGGTTTCGGCCTGGCCCAGTGCTGGTTATTTGGGGAGTGAACCAGCAGATGGAAGATCCATCCCTCTCTCTCTCTCACTCTCACACTTTCAAATAAATAAATGAATCTTGAGAATAATAAATAGCAGAATAATCTGCAGGAGCATTACGTGCCAGCCCGTGAGTCGCTCCTTATGACAGTGATGTCCTTTAGAACATGCAGGCCATAGGCTAAGATTGTGGTCCGCGAGCCCTGCTCCCCAGTCCAGTGGCTTTGGAGGACAGGCTGCAGCTTTGAGGCTCTCCAGCCTTCCTGCATTCCTGTAGGAAGTTCGCTTATGGAGTGTATTTCCCTGGACGAAAGGAGAAAGTCCCAGAAGTCACAGGAGAGCGTGGTGAGGGAAGGTGCAGGCTCCTGGGGACATGGCTTCCAACCTGTGAGGAGGATCCGCCTCTTCTCCAGACAGTCCAGTGATTGGCCAAAGCTCAGGCTGTGCTCATCGGTCCCGTCCTCTAGACTCCCAAAACAGCATGTCATAGAATGTTCTTTCTGGTGACTTCACAAAGACATCCAGAATTTAGGAAATCCCTCAATTACAAAGTGGATCGTTATTACATAAAAAATTGCAGGAAGTGTATTTGGCCACCAACCGGCATCCATGTCCGAGGGCTGAAGTGGGGGCTCTGAGATGGGGACAGCAGGCACTTGGGCCCCTCGTGTGGCAGAGCCATTGCCCCCTCCCCTGTGGGCATGAGCGGCTCCGTTTCTACCACCCCATTCATCCTCCTCACCATCCCGTCCACTACACACCAACAGTGTATCCTGGGCAGCAAAGAGCACCAGAGGGAGGAACCAGTTGGGCTAGCAGAGCCAACCTCATGTGGGGGGCCTGGTCACGGCCGGGTGTGTCCCAGGCCCATCCTTAGCAACCGAGGAACTTGGAGAGGCAGTGTTGCTGCTCCTGGAACACTGCTCGCCCCTCATAAAGGCAAAGTTCTAACAGTAACAAAAAAAGAGACTGCGTGGTAGCTCGGCAATTCCTTGGGCCCTGCACCCGCATAGGAGACCAGGAGGAGGCACCTGGCTCCTGGCTTCGAATCGGCGTAGCGGCCATTTGTGGGGTGAACCGACGAAAAAGGAAGACCTTTGTCTCTCTCTCTCACTGTCTAACTCTGCCTGTCAAAAAAAAAAAAAAAATCAGCCTGTTACCCCTAGGAATTCACCCCAAGAAGATAACCAAGCAAACGGTGTTTTACCCATGTTAACAGAATTTGATTATTGATTGATTTTTTTTTTTTTTTGACAGGCAGAGTGGACAGTGAGAGAGAGAGACAGAGAGAAAGGTCTTCCTTTGCCAGTTGGTTCACCCTCCAATGGCCACCGCGGCTGCCGTGCTGCGACCAGCACACCACGCTGATCCGATGGCAGGAGCCAGGAGCCAGGTACTTATCCTGGTCTCCCATGGGGTGCAGGGCCCAAGCACTTGGGCCATCCTCCACTGCACTCCCTGGCCACAGCAGAGATCTGGCCTGGAAGAGGGGCAACCGGGACAGAATCCGGTGCCCTGACCGGGACTAGAACCCGGTGTGCCGGCGCCGCAAGGAGGAGGATTAGCCTAGTGAGCCGCGGCGCCGGCTTGATTGATTTTTGACACACACACAAAGACATTGTCCGTTCCTCTCCACTGGGTCCCTCAACGGCTCGGACTGGACTGAACTAAAGCCAGGAGCTGGGAACTCAATGCAGGCTTCCCGTGGGCGTGGAGGGAATTCAGTTACCGGCCGCCTCTCGGGGCGTGCATTAGCAGGGAGCAGGCTTCCTAACAGCTCATGAACTGCTAAGCTACAGGACCTCCCCTTCAACATGAGAGGGGAAACCTGCGTGGCAGTACAATCACCGGCACCTCCTTCTCTGTTTCTCCTCCCGCCTCTGCCCGCCTCCCTCTGACCTCACTTCCCATACTCCCTGGGCACTTCCCTAAGGTGCAGTGCTTAGCCTGCTGTTAGGCGTCTGTCCCTCAGCCTGCTCCCTGCGTTTGGGTCTCTGCTCAGATGCTTCTCCCTCAAGATCCCTGAGCCCATCCCTCTGCATAAAGCCTTGCCTCTCGTTAGGTTCCTCCATTTTCCTGTTTCAGAATTCATAACCGTTTAACATGGCTGTGTGTTTATTTTATTGCCTGTCTCTGCCCTCTCTCATGGCACTCAAGAACTGGAGGACTGGATGACTGGCACAAACCAGGCACGAAATATTTGTTTTATGAATTATTGGATGAATTTCTCCCTTTTATTTTAGTGTTTTTTTGTTTGTTTGTTTATCGACAGGCAGATTTAGACAGAGAGAAAGAGAGAAAGGTCTTCCTTTTCTATTGGTTCACCCTCCAAATGGCTGCCACAGCGGGCACTGTGCCGATCCAAAGCCAGGAGCCAGGTACTTCCTCCTGGTCTCCCATGCCGGTGCAGGGCCCAAGCACTTGGGCCATCCTCCACTGCCTTCCCAGGCCACAGCAGAGAGCTAGACTAGAAGAGGAGCAACCAGGACTAGAACCCGGGGTGCCGGCGCCACAGGTGGAGGATTAGCCAGGTGAGCCGCGGTGCCAGCTATTAGTTCTTTTTTAATCTCAAGAATATTTCAGAATTTTTCCAGAAACATCTCACAAAGTTAGGTTTTTTCCTTAGGTATCTTATAGTTTTTATTGCTATTGCAAATGCTTCCTTTTGTTCCCTCCCTTTTCATATTCTCTAATTGGTTTTTGCTGGCCTGTAGGAATGCTATTAATTATAAAATAAATTTAATAACTAGCTGATCTCAGTTCATTTTAGTATATTTTCTTGAAAGATAAATAAGTAGTCTGCAAAAAAAATAGGCATTTTTTATTCTAATCATTAAATTTCTGGTCTGTTTGGTCTTCAGTATGGGAGACCCTCCATACCAGCTGACCATGTGAGTGGTGGCTGGCGTCCGTGCCGTCATCACAGCCTCTTGTTCTGCGTGCGGGGAGGAGGAGGTGGTGTAGGGTGTGGATGGCGGAAGGTGGTGGCCCAGGGCACGCTGGTCTAGATGGCATTACAGTCTGGGCTGGAGGTAGAGTCAGACCTTAACTCAGTTCTCCTTCCCCTGGTCTGACTCTTCCCTCCCCTGCCCCAGGCAGGCATGGAGTTAGAGGACAAAGCGAATGAGGACAATGACAGGGCACTAATCCAGGAATTCACCTGCTCTGTGCTCCCAGGTAGTCAAGTATGGTGTCAGGGCGCATCACAGGTAAATAGGAGAGTCAGGCATTTGGCTGTATTTCAGTTATTTCTTTTTACAAAATCACAAACACTGGTCACCGTCACCTCGGTGTGAGAAGAAAATGCAGTCTTCATCCGTGTTTCCACTTAGCCAAAGGTTGTTGCGAAGGCTCTCTGTACTTTTGATCTTAGAACAGGAGGTGAACATGTGGTGCCGAGGTTCAGAGGCTGCTGGGGAGGCCTGGGTGCCGGATGGCAGTGCCCAGGTTTGAGTGTTGGCTCTGCCTTCAACTCCGACCTCCTGCCAATGCAGACCCCAGATTGAGCTCCAGGCTTCTGGCTCCAGCCTGGCACATCTCGGGCTGTTTCAGGCATTTCGGGAGTGAACCAGTAGAGTTCTCACTGGTGCTGCCTCTCTTTCACTCTCTCCCTGTCTAGTAAATAAACAAAATAAAAATAAAATAAACAAAAAGTAATCTTTTTATTTTATTTTATTTACTTATTTTTTTGACAGGCAGTTAGAGAGAAAGGTCTTCCTTCCGTTGGTTCACTCCCCTAATGGCTGCCACAGCCAGCGCTGTGCCAAGCCGAAGCCAGGAGCCAGGTGCTTCCTCCAGGTCTCCCATGTGGGTGCAGGGGCCCAAGCACTTGGGCCATCCACCACTGCACTCCCGGGCCACAGCAGAGAGTTGGACTGGAAAAGGAGCAACCGGGACTACTACCCGGCGCTCCAACCGGGACTAGAACCCGGGGTGCCGGCACCGCAGGTGGAGGATTAGCCAAGTTAACCATGGCACCGGCCAACAAAAATTAATTTGATAACTAATGGTCATGGAAGATTTCACCACATAAGTCAACAGAAGGAGGAAGAAAAATCGGATTCGGGGAAATACGGAAAAAAAAAAAAAGAGGAAGCTCTAAATTAGTTTGTTGCTGCTCGATATTGTTCTCTGTATTGTGTAATTAACCACTTGGGGTCCTGTATAAATTAAATTATTAAACCAGTATCTGAGCTGCCACCCACGTAACTCCTCCTCCCAAAGAAAGATGTAAGGAAATGTTTCAGATCCAATCCCAAAGTACGCATCCACAGAACACCTGACACTTAGAGAAAGAGCCATCCACAGATGTTGGCTTGACCCAGAAATTGGGCCCTCGTGACTGGTGAGTGCCCCCGATGAGCACACGTCTGCCTGAAATGTGAACCCTTGAGGTCACAGAACAAACTAAGTGGCTCAGGCTCCTTAGCCGTACGGCAGTTTATGGTGAACCATGAAAAGGAAACTGACCGACAAAAGGCAAATGGTGAGAAATCGAGAGAGGGGAATCTGAAAGATTAAAAAAGGAAACAAGAGAAAAGGAAGCCCAGCATGTCAGGAGCGTGAGCACAGGAACTGAGTAAAATGGAAGTTGGGTTTTTAGCTTACCAAAAGCATAGGTGCACTAAAAACTAGGACTTCATTTGTTCTGTGCAAATGACCGGTTCAAGCAGTTCCTGGGTGTGGGAAATTGTGCACCAGGAAGCCGGCCTCGTGGAGGGGTTGGGGTTAGGCTGGGTGAGGACAGGGCCGGGAGAGCTGAATGGGGCCCCTTGGTGGGAAGAGGGCTGTGTGCTCAAAAGAAAAGAGCAGTGAGCACCCAGGGAGAACACAAGGAGCTGTGTGTGCAGCAGACTTCACACGGCCTGCAGAGGAGAGCAAGGACTCGGAGTGAGACGGTAGGGGTGCAGGTGAGCAGCCTCCTCTGCAGCTGAGAATCCAGTCCCCCGGGAGAAGCCACCCACTCCACACGGTCTAGAGAAGCAGCTGGCGCAGGGCCCGCCGAGACTCCTCCTGCACTCACTGGCATCAAACCCTGTTGGCCAAGGGAGAACTTCCGAGCCCAGTGGCTTCTCATGGGCAACAGGCTTTGGAAGGAAGCAGAGGTGAGAGGCAGGAAGACTTTCCATCATCAGTCGTGCATCCCAGCTGCAGTAGGGGGTTGGCCCCAGGATGCTTGGGGAAGCAGAGCAAAGAACCTCACTTCCTCGGGGTGTAAGGCAGGAGCCAGGTGCTTCTCCTGGTCTCCCATGGGGTGCAGGGCCCAAGCACTTGGGCCATCCTCCCCTGCACTCCCGGGCCACTTTAGCTGCACTTCTAATGAGGCCGGGATGAGTATTGCTGTTGCTACTGTCCACAGGGTCTCTAAGGGACGGGATGAGATCTGCGACTTTGAACTAAAAACTGCACACAGAGCAGGCGAGGTGAGTGATCAGTCACTTCCTCCACGTTCCCAAAGGCACTACTCAGGCCCTTCTCTTCCCAGAGGTTTGAACTCAGTGTGGAGAGGAGCCCCTGTGGACACTGAGCCAAGATCCAATCTCCCGTGCTCTTGCACAAGTTACTTCACTCGCTGTCACTTAGTTCCACTTCCTTCCTGAAAATTGGGAATGCGTATGGTACTATTCACAGAGTGGCTATGCTGCTTAGGTGAGCAAATGCGGGGGAATCCGACAGCAGCGTGTGGCACACTGTGAAAGGCCAGCCCTCTTCTCATCAGGAAGAGCTGATGCCCACACAGAGCAGGCACAGGAATTTCCCTAGAAGCTGTGTCACCCAATTC